CGCTGCTACGCAGAGCCATGCTTCTGCCTAACCCACTCAGAAGGCAATTCCACGGAGACAGCCAAGCCCTCTCAGCTGGGTCCTCTCCTATTCTGTCATTCCGATGATGGGACCTGCTCCTGACGGGAATGATCTGCCGACACACACTAAGCTTTAGGCAGTGAGACGTGCATTGCAGAATTATATACAGAAGTGAGGATTTCTGAAACAAACCCAACACCCACCAGTAGTGGAAGAGCTAGGTGTATTTTAGTGTACTCAGAAAACAGCCTATTTTTCAGCCAGTAAAAATACATGAAGGAGACACTCTAACAATATGTGAAATAATTATGTCATGTTATAACAGTAAATTAAAAAGGTAAGATACAAATTATACATGCACTGAATGATAACAGTTCTGTACAGATATTAAAATTAGATGCACAGAAAAATGTTAGACTCATATATAATAGACTGACAATACGGGAGGTGAAGACGTTTTATTGGGCTTTTCTGTATTTTCCCAATTTTTCTATGAGAAACAGTAGGTGGTAGATTTATAAATGATAAGTATTAAAAGAAAGAAAGAGTGAGGGACTAGCAGTTAGTGTAATGGCTATGTTGCTGGACTCCCATGTAGTCGACCGGAGTTCGAGTCCTGGACCCGGTGGCTTAAACTCACACCGGGCGCGTGTGCGTGTGTTCTCTCTGTCTTTCTGGTGAACACACATGCCCGATAGCAAAAAAAAAAAAAGCCTCTCTAAAATAAAAAAAGAAAAAGCGAGTGAGAACAACCGCTACCTTCGGGCTCCAGGAGCCTGGGGATGTGCAAGGCATCCTGTGCGATGCTGAAAGCCTTCTCTAGATTTTCTCGCATGGAGTCTTCCAGGGCCTGCTTCATGTCCACCAGGCTGGGGTCGATGGCCTTGATCACAGCGAGGAATGCCAGCCCACTTCTCCAGCTGCCCGCAAAGTCCTGCACCGCCACGCCGTACCTGCAGCAGCAGCCACAATGCAGGTGGGTGAACAGACTCAGAGGCACGAGGTTACATTCCATTCCAGGCAACGGAAAAGGAGGAAGGTGGACATCGCACAAAGTGGCAAAATAGGACCCTGTAACCCTCAGTTCCTAGATACATAAAGGAGCGACGGTACGCACCATTCATCTCATCGGTGACATTGACAACGGAGCAAACAAGAACGTGTTATGCAATGAAAACAGAACCGGGGCTGGCCCCATGGCCTAGTGGCCAAGAGAACTGGATTCCACACGGCTGACCACGGTTTGAACCCTGGCCCTGGTGGCCTGAAATGTGGGGCACACATGCACGTGTTGTGCCCAGCATATTTTTCAAGCTGTCAAGGTCGGGATTCAAACTACAGCCAATCATGTGGCTTCCAGCTCTCTACACCACTAGGCCACACAGGAACCCCTTAGTGTTTAGAAATCATTTTGTTTAAAATCCACAAGAAGTTGCAAACACAACAGAGTATACACACACTGCATATTTCCCCAGCTTCCTGCAATAATCTTATGTTACCAGGGTGTATTATCAAAACCAGGACACGGACACTGGTCCCAGACGATGATTAATAAAGCTGTACACTGAATTGGAATCCACCAGTCACCGCATGCGCACTTTCACGGGGGAGCTGTATAATACTAAGACATTTGATCACAAGCTCTGGGTTGTGAGTCCAACACCACAAATGAGAAATAAAACTACAGTCATGCTAAGATACTTCCTCCTATCATCCCTGGAACCCTAAGGCCTGGCCATGAACTCTCTCTTTGGATTGATTTATTCCTGAATATTTAATGTGGTTTGCATTAATCAGCTCTAATCTGTCATGCTCCAACCTCCTCAATGAAAACTCCAAAGACAAAACCTCTCTTCCATCTTTTTTTAATTATTATAATCACTTTTCTTTTCTTTTCTTTTTATTGCTAAAGGGTGTGTACTCTCACCAGATGAGGTTGGGGGGACACCCTTTAATGAAGGCGGTCATGCTATAACCCTTTCTCCTTATCTCGTCATCCTATCAGGATCTGGGGCACACACACGTGATTTCCAAGTCACTGGGCCAGGATCAGAACCTCAGACGCCACGTGGGATCTGATTCCCAATAAACTGAGCTTAACCGCTGCACTGTGGGGGCGGCCCTTCTTCCTTCTCTCTCTCACTTCTTCTGAGAGCCAGAGCGTCGGTAACCCCAACAGAGGGATGACACAGTGACCCCCCCAGTCTGCAGTCAGCCCTGACCACAGGCACGCTTGTGCCTGGGCACCTGGGGGGTCTCAGACTTGAACTGGAACCTTCCCACGTGGGAGGCCTGGACAGCACCACATCTGACTGCTGCTCTACTTTGATCCCCCTTCCATCTTTTTCCCCCCGATTGCCAGAGGTGTATGCATTGCCCAGAAAGAGAAAGCAGCCCCCGATAGGCATAGTCACTCTGCGATCTTTCTTCCTTCACCTCTCCATCCCATCAGGATTTGGGCGCCCCTGCATACATGCCCAGCGCAGGTAGCCACCCTACCTACAGTGCCTCACTGCTGCACTCTGGGCCACCCCCTCCGCTTTTATTTCCACACCCTGGGGAGAAGGGAGCCAGTACTTGACAGGCTTCTTGTGTGCTAGCACTGTGCCAGGAGCTTGGGTGACTTTTACCCTCTTCCTGCCCTCCTACCCTGGGAGGCAGTGAGAAAGCGAGCTCCCTGCAGAGGAGACTCGCTGAGGAAAGGGACGCACCAGGCTCTCACCCAGTCTGTATGTGGTGGAGCTGGGGTGGCCCCGAGTCGGTGTGACTTCCACCATGCTGGCCTGGAGCCCCTCCATGGGCTGCTAGTCAAAGGCCTGAAGCAAAACTACCACGACCCCTGGAGCTGGCATGGGGTCAAACCGGGGCCAGAGCTCAGCTCCAATTTACCTCTCTCTGCTTTCGAAGTCCAGACTAACCTTGAGTGTGCCACGGCCTTTGTTATTTTTCAGTAGGTACAGATTCTGAAAGCTTCCCTGTAGCTTAAGAATCCATATGTACAGGGACCAGCAGTTAGCGTAATGGCTATGTCACTGGACTCCCACGTAGTCGACCACGGTTCGAGTCCCGGACCCGGTGGCTTAAACTCACACCGGGCGCGTGTGCGTGTGTGCCCAAGATCCTGCGAGGAGAATGGAGGAGAAAGGATTGCTGCGTGGCCATCCCCCCGGGGGGTGATTTCTCGCTGTCTCCATCTCTCTGTCTTTCTGGTGGGTGTGCGTGCCCTATAGCAAAAACTTCTCCCCCAAAAAAAGGAATCCATATGTACATGGTGTTAGAATCCCACTGGCGATGAGATGGGTGCCATCAGGGCATGCCCACTGGAGTACTTCACATCAGAAGAGAAAAGCCCCTTTGCTTTGAATTCAAATCCTCTCAGTAGCTTTCTGCAAACTGATCATTCCGCGTGTTTTCGACTTAGTGCTCCCTGTTCTGAAAAGAATACGACGCCACAGCACACACATAACCAGCCCCTTATCATCAGGCATCCCTTTCCTTTGGCTCCCCCCACCCCACCCCCAGGAAAGAGGCGATCCTGCCTCTGCCTGAAACAGCCAAGGGGAGGTGGGGGAGAGGCCCACTTACTTCCTCGTCTTCCTCTGCACCCATGTCAGCAGGGTCTTGATGGCCTTCCTCTGGTCCTTCACCGAGATGGCCACGCTCCTCTCCGCGGTGGGGGTGGGTGGGAAGGAGGAGTCTGAGTCTGTGCCCCCTGAGCCGGGTGACAGGCTGGAAGATGGAGAGTTTCTGCTGAGGTTGCCCGTGAGCTCCTTAATCTGCAAGGAAAATGGCAGTTCAGGCCCCGGAGACAGACCCACCCTCTCAGCAATGGGGCCCTTGTCCAACCTGTGGCCATAGGGACCAACTCATGTGGAACTGGCTGTCCGGGTAGGGAGAGCCTTTCTGAATGCTGCATTCAGGGTGCAGACCTGCCAAACCCCGCTGCTGGCCTGGGGTAGAACAGTGCCCAAGACGGCCTGACTGTTGCACGTTACCTGTAAAGTGCGGTCACACTCCAAGGAGAGATCGTCTCCTCTGGAGGCCTCTCCAGCTCTGGCCAGCCACGGCACACAAGGTCTCCCTGACTCCACCCCTGCCCCTTCCCCCTCACTGCCTCTGCCCTTCTTGGTCTCGCTATCTGGCTGTCCCATCTCTCCACTACTGAATTCCTATCATGGGGCTCGAACCCCCAGTACTGCCCTTGACCTACCTACTATATCAGAATCTGCATTTCAGCACCACTCCAGGCAGTCTGCGCGTAGGAAGTTCGAGAAGTACTGGTCTAGAGCACTCCTATTCAACCTTCAAAACCCCGTTCTGCCGTCACTTCCTCCAGCAAGTTTCCCTTACCCTCTGCCCCATCTGCTTCTGCTTGTTCTCACAGCACCCTGCTCCTACCCTGACCGTGGCCTGTACCACAGAGCTCTGTACTATGGGACTGATGTCTGTGACCCCAGAGGGACACGAGGTAGGACCCTGCATATAGAGCTCCTGGGACCGCAGAGAAACTCAGTAGCCAGGTACTAGGTGAATGAAGAGCTGGGCAGATTTGGGGCCTTCGCTATTAGCACATTCGAAGATGTTTCCAGCATCTCTCAGGAGTTTAATAACGAGCATCAGTAACTGAAGCCCATACACCACGCTGACCGTGGCCACAGGGCTTTGCCCACGGCTTTTCTTTGTTCTTTTTAAAAGAGTCTATTTATGTATTTATTGCCTTAGGGCACATGTTCTCTCTGGGGAGAGAAGAGAGACAGAGATAGTGAGAGGGAAAGTGAGAAATCACCCCCCGGGGAGATGGCCAAGGCGCAATCCCTTCTTCTCCATTCTCCTTCCGGGACCTTGGGCACACACGCACACGCAGCCAGTGTGATTTCCAAGCCGCTGGGTCCAGGATTTGAACCGTGGTCAATCATGTGGGAGTCCAGTGATGTAAGCACTATGTCATCTGCTGGTCCCCCATGGCTTCTCTTGATGTCACCACAGGTTATGGCCAAGGTTCCCATTCCACAGATGTGGAAACCGAAGTCTGGAGACAGAACCTTTGCTTGTTAAGTGTAAGGCCCACCCAGAGTGGGGTCTGCTGCCTCCACGCCTTGTTTGTGCTCATCCGAGAATTGAGTTCAAAGCCCAAGAGACCACCCTTCCTTTTATGCTTGGGAGGGTCATTAAATAATGAACCAAGCCTTTCTCTTTCTAATGAAGGTGCGTTTTAGAAGATGACAGGTCAGTTCACCCTCTTGTTAAAGGACAGGAACACAAACACCATCTAAAACGCCAGTGGCACCCCACCCCGGCACCCCACCCGCAGAGCCAGTCCTTGCTCTGAGAGCTGCATTTCTGGACCCAGGCTGACGCGGCAGGGGTGGGACAGCAAGGCCTCTCCTGTCCTCTCCCCTTCCTTTTCTTAGGGCATTGCGACTGGGTCGCTGGAAAATCGTAACACATTTTTGCATAGAGAAACCTAGAAAAATACGTCATGACTTTTCCAGTGACCCAGCGGTACGGCGCTCAGTCTCGGCTGAACACGTGAGTAACTCCAGGAAAGTAACTCTAGTGAGTTTAGCTTTTGGTCAGAAGTTTTTCCCCAGTCCTCATGCCACTTGAATCAAAGTAAACATTTAATTTAATCTTTAAATCCCAGGAGTAGGCGCATCTAGACTAGTGTCCGCACTACTTTATAAATGACAGGACCCAAACTTTCAGACGCCAGACTCCTCCAGTTCTATCTCAGTGCATAGAAAAGGCAAAAGCTGCCAGGACTGCCAGTGACCAAGGTCACTGTCTCCTTGACCTTTGACCTGCTCCACTCTGTCCTGCTGCTGCCCGGAAGGCTCCTGATGGCTACTGGGCCGTGGGAAGGAAATGATGTTACCTGGAAGAAGAGGATTATGTTCCATATCAGCCCGAGAACCAGAGAGGGGTTGCCATCTGCTATTTCCGCTGCGTCGATGCTAACCAGTTTTACCTGGGGACAAGCAATGAGTGAGCTGAAAGGAGGTGCCCGGCGAGGGCACCGTGCGCTTTTCTCATGCCCTCTTGCTTCCTACCAACCCCCACCCCATGTCATCCAGTGCAGCCCAAGGCCACCTATCAGGGACACCCAGCACGCCAAAGTGTACTTAGTGATCGCACACGTGGCACTTACCTGGGCAGGCACTACCCTACGCCCCTTTCACCTGATCATCATTTGTCTGCACAACACCCTATAATGAAGGCACGAGGTCAAACTGTCCCTGTGAGGGAACTCACAGCCCTGGAATATAATATGCAGAGCCACAGAGAGTGAGGTCTGAGTCATTCTCTTCCAAGAAGAGATGGTAAATGCTCGGTAGATCTGTCTCTGCTACCACCACCAACCCTCCAGATCAGCCCACACAGCAGGCATTAATCATCATGGACCAAATCCAGTGCTAATTAGTAAAGCAGTGGCCAGGGGGCTCACACCAGCATCTGCACTGGGGAGTGGTTAAATGCACCTGTGGAGGAGCCCCTTGGGGAACAACCTTGGTCTTTAACATCATTCTGTTGTGACCCCAGCATGATGTTCCCAGTAAGTCCCTCGGGTCAAGTGTGGCCCCCCTGGGTAGCAGCTTCAGCATCGCCTGGCACTCCACAGAAATGCAAATTCTCCCCTGGACCCGCAGAGTCAGAAACTTGGGGGGTGGGCCCGGGCATCTGCATTCTAGCCAGTGCTCCAGGGGATTCTGAGGCGTGTTCCTGTCTGAGGGTCACTGCCCTGGGTCATCATTGCCTGCTGCAAACAGGATCACAGTACATGGATGAGAGCTTGACCACACCCCTGCCCCCACCCCCATCCCTGCAAAGGGCCAGAGAGTAAGCCGCCAGGTCCGGGATTCAAACCATGGTTGACCATGTGGGAATGTCCAGCGCCTTAACCACCACGCCACCTGCTGGTCCCCACAGGTCTTTCTTAACAACCCTTCAAAATGTAAGAAACATTCTTCAGGGGATCAAGGAGAAATAAGGTAAGTCGAGTCATTTATGCTGCAGAAGTCTGCCTGGGAGACCCGGGGACAAACAGCGACAAAATGAAGAGTGTCTTAGACACAATCTTTTCTTCCTCTCCTTTCCTCCCTCCTTTTCTTTCCATGGTTTTTTAAAATGTTTGACACTGGGCTCCGATCCTATCAGCCTGTCAGAGGAGTCTGACACCACCAATCTGCTCGGCCTGGCTCACCCAATCGAGGGAGGCCTCTGGGTTCCCTGCTGAAGCCCGTCCCTGGACTGATGCCAAAAACGTAATTCAGACAACACAGGCACATCAGGGGCAGGTTGGGGGCCAGGAAGGAAGTCATCAACACGGTGAAGAACGCGGCCGAGCAAGTTCAGGTCCAATATTCCGTCCACATTCGTCAGGAGCACACGTCCCGCCTGATGGATCACGTGTGAGGCTCGGCGTCCTGACAGCCTCCTCAGATCTGTGGCTTTCCAAGCACATCACAGTCCAGGGGAATCAAAGCACGCGGTCAACGGGTCATCTGGGCCTTCTCTCCTGCCTACAGGAAGTCCGAACGGAAGAGACGGCCCCGCCTTCTGAGCTGAGCCTCCAAAGAGAGGTGCTCTTGTGGGGCTGCCATGAGTGTAATGGTGCAGGGGAGGGCTGAGCAGGGAAGTGGTTGGCTCCAGGGAGACCACTTGGCAAAAGAGCACTGGCCTGGCCACAGGGCATGGAGAACCTGGCCAAGGGAAGGCAGTGGGTGCAGGGGGTTCATGGCTCCAAGGAGCAGGCCTTGCAACACCTTACCTGGGGCCTGGCCACTGTCCTGTTCTTGGTGATGAAGAGACAACTGAGCAGCCGACCTCAGTGGAGGGCTTCCTGTCGTCCCCCTCCTAATGCAGAGGTCTGTGGTTCCAGGACTGCCCCCTGGTGAGTCTGGCTGGTGCACGCGGGGCAGGTAAGTGGCATCAGATAATGCCTCTCCTGTGGAGCCCTGGCTGCCTGAGTGTTTCTCAAGGTTTGTTTCTTTAATACAGGCCATATATCCGTTTCACAGGTGAGGGAGCTGAGCTCGGAGAGGCAGAATGGCTTGTGGATGGTCATAGAGCTGGTCCCCCGGGCAGTTCATCTCTCACAAGGGTGTGAACCTTTGCTGGGCACTTCCATGTGGCAGCACCGGTGCACAGCCTGGTCCCCTGCCGGTGTGCCCTGCCATCCTGGCTCCCCCGGGCGTAGCTGCTGTTTCGGTCTCTGCAGGATCACACGCCTCTTCGTGCCCCTAGTGTGCTGTGAGCCTGCGGTCTGCATGACACCTCTCCCACCAGACCTGAGCATCATCGAGGCACAGGTGTTTCCATGTGACTGTCCCAGCACCAAGCACGGTCCCCAGGCCTACAGGAGACTCTGGGTGAACAGCCCTGAATTGGTACCTGGGTAATGCTGAACGGGCAGTAGAAGGGATCTCCTACGTGGCACCGGACTCATCTATGTGGGCCGCCGACGGATTGCAGAGGTGGGTGAGGGGAAGAAGAGCAAACGAGTACCCTGGGCCGAGCGCAGAGGCCCCACGCCCTCACAGCAGCAACGCCCCTTTGGAATTCAGGAATGGACCTGCCAAGAACAGCCACACCCATGCCAGCAGTAGGCATCGAACGTCAGCTGCCCAGGTGGAGTGCTGAGTGCCGCCGTGCGAGGGAGACCCCGGGGCCCGCACTCCCTGCCAGCACTTGGCTAAACCACCTGGGCAGCTTGCTCAGCCCTCCACCACCCTGCGAGGCAGGTTCCGTTTTTATCACCTCTCTTTTACAGACGGGGAAACGGAGGCGTGGAGTCTGTCATTTCCTCACAGCTCCTGGAAGCATGTGGGGGATCCAGGATGGAGACCTGAGGCAGCAGTGCTCCAGCCGCGATGGTCCATATGGAGCAGAGACCGACGGTGTTGCTGACTGCAGGGGGAGCCTTGGGGTGGGTGTGGGACGGGCTTTTTTTTTTTCAGCGAGGCCGAACTGGCAGTCTACTCCATTCAGTTTCAAGTATACCACCTGGTGGTTTCTGATGTAGTCCTAGACGGAGACAAGCCACCCTAAAGTCGGGTATGGGGCATTTTCATCATGTCCATTCAAGCTGTGTGCCCACCGGCTCTCACCCTATCACCACTAACCTCCTTTCCTCCCCGACAGAATTCCCTGTGGTGGACAATTCACATGACAGGGATCACAAGGAGTGTCCTGCAATGGGCTTTCTCCACCGAGCAGGACGTTTCAAGGTTCATCCATATGGCAGCATGTCAGGATTTTTTCGTCCAAATAAGATCCCACTGTGTGGCAGATCAGTTTGGAGATCCATTCGTCCGGCAATGAACACTCGGGCCGGCCCTGCCTTCCGGCTGCTAGGCGTAGTCTGCCATGGACCCGCTGTGCTTCCAGTCACCATGACTGCAACTCCACCCTGCGGAGGGGCTCCCCCACTGCACGGCTGTTCAGAGGCAGAGTTCACGCCTCTTCATAGCAGAAGTGCTTTTCTGCCTTCTTGGTGGCTGGGAAGTGGACTAGGACTCTGGTTACACAGCCACACGGTCCTGCCCAGGCCTTTAAACCTCAACAGGTGCCATCCAGGGGACAGTGGAGCAGCCAGGTCTGCCATGGGGAAGCAGAGAGGTCCTTCCACTGGGAGCCAGAGGTCCCTCCCTGATCTGTGTTGGGGCTATCCAGAACAGCAGAGGCGGGACAGTGGGACCGTGACCACAGGGTCCCTCCAGGAGATTCTGGGGCGCAGGGGTTCTAGCACCTGGCATCTCTGGGCTCTGGCCTTGGTTTCAGTCTTCCAAGTCAATCTGTGAGCTACCCGACACCCGCTTCCTGTCTCTGCTACATCGGCCAAAGCCAGCTTCCATTGTGTGCATAAAGAGCGCCAGATGAATCATACTTGATGATAAAGTTTTACTGCATGTAATGCATGTGGCAATTGTAGGGTTTTTTAAACCAGATTAATTGTTGAGCCCTAATAAAAGGGAGCTTTGGAATTTCATCCCTCTTGGACTATCCCTTTCCATTTGTGAAGGACATGGAGCATTCCAAACACAGAAAAAGTGAATCAAGTCTGGAACGGTCTGTCCAGGAAGGAAGACTTCTGTAACTCTTGCCCTGGCCCACACGGCGTCCTCTTGGCTCTTTGCTTCTCTCCACATTCTAAGTTCCAGGACACAGAGCAGCACTCTGACATGCTCACCGCACTCGCATTCCAAGGGATGATCAAAGAAAATGTCAACCCAGCTCCAAAGGTCTGGGAGCCAGCTGGCTGCTCTGCCCTTCCCAGCACTGAACATCCACAGAGTCGTAGCTCTAATGGGCATGGAGAGGGTGAGCAGGGAGTCGGGGACTACACCCCCAACGTGTGGCTTATGGTCTAACGTGATCACGTTAGCAGAGTGTATTCCACACTTCGCTCGTGACCCGTGCTCAACTTCAAACTACCTCCTTTCTGTAAGAGGACACGCTTGTGTTCACAGACACGCTTCAAACACTTACGTTGCTATCTTCCAGAAACTTAAGTGCTTTTGCTATGTTGTTCAGCCGAAAAATACGATGCGATGAGGATTTGTATTCGTGCAGCTAAAAGAAACAAAACAGAAAGAAAGAAGCCAGTTAAACCAGCATGGGCACTTGAGATGCACAAAGGTGCCGCTGGGTGTCCTTTATCTTTCAACGTGTATTGCAAGAGAAAGGAGGCTTGCCCGCTAAAGCCCACATGGACTGCACGCAAACCCACGCACTGTTTGTAATGTCAGGGGCCCTCGTAGGCCAGTCTTATTTAAGCCACCTGCGACTTAACTCACTAGAGCTGGTGAATGGGGGGGACCAAAGGAGGTTAACGGAGACTTGCTGGGTTTTTCTCCCTGATGCAGCCCCTGGCTTGAGATACCCCCTTCTCCAGAGACCCTCAGTGGCATGTCCTCGCCTCTGGGCAAAGCCTCTGCTAGAGCAGGAGTGTGAGCTGTCGGCATCACTGCTCAGCCACGGAATCACCACACAGCCCCTCCCTAGGGGAAGCAGAGGTTTCTGTTTTCTGGCCAAGAACTCTGTGGACAGTTATCCCAGGTCAAGAGGGAAAGTGGCCTGCAGACTCTAAGACTCTGACGATGCCAGCCCTACACCCCCGGGAGTGTGGCCACAGTGAACATTCCTGCACGCCAACCCATCCATGCTCCTGGGGCCAGGGAGGAGTCAGTTCTGCCAGGTGTGAGCAGCCAGGCCAAGCTTTCAGTCAAGTGGAGGCCTGCCGAAGACACGGTGGCTATTGACCAGTGGCCTGGCAATAAGGACGGAGCCAGCATTGCTGGGAGCACGGAGCAAAGGACCAGAACACACTTTTCAGGAAGCCTTTTGGGGACCACGCTGCCAGCTCATTGCAAGATGTGCTAAGAAATCAAATACTACTGGGACCCTTATGCAGAGGGCGTAATGGTCACGTTGCTGGATTCCCACGTCGTCAACCAGGGTTCCAGTCATGGACCTGGTGGCTTAAAACTCACACCAGGAGTGCGTGCATGCCACAAATCCCAAGAGAATGGAGGAGAAGGGACTGTGGTGTGGACATCCCTCCTGGGGAGTGATTTCTCACTGTCTGTCTCTCCAACAAGTGCATGTGCCCTATAACAAAAATCCCTCTTAAAAAAATAGAAAGAAATCAAATACTATTTTTGCTGCAATGGGTTGCCCTTCCCTAGAATTCATAACGTAACTTGGCGCACAGCCCCTCCAGAGTGTGCCGGACGGGCATCTGCCATTTTGCTATCAGGAAAGCTTACTGGGTGTGATGCGGCCCCAGAGACACTTGCTCTGAGGACAGGAGAGACTGTTGACTTGAAATGTACAGCAGGAAACAGGTACAGAGAGGTGAGTCCTGGCTGAGCTCTGGCGGAGCTGGGACCCATTACTGTACCTCTGCAGTAGCCACAACAGGGACCTAGGCCAAACCCTACCCTTCACTCCACAGCCAGGTTCTCACCCCGACACTATCGGCATGTTGGAGCGGATCGGTTTGGCCCTGTGGGAGCACCTGGCAATAATATCTGAGGCATTTCTGGTTGTTCACAGCTGAGGTGCTCCTGGTACAGATGGTAAACACCCTGCGGCCCACAGGACTGTCCGGCCCCCGAGTCCCCGGGGCCGAAGGCGAGGCGCCTGCTCTGTGGAAGGCGGAAGGCCAGCTGCACACAGCACACAGGCAACGTGAACGGTCTGGCAGACATCCAAAGAGGAGCGGAGGTCCATATCAGCTGGTTCAGTTCAACTTCGGCCATGCTTCAAAGACTCTTCTAGAAGTCAACAATTCCCACTTCAGTCTCGGGGTGGATAACAGAATTGAGTTGGTAAGAGATCTTTCTCTTCGGTCTTCCTGATTCTTAACTATCATCTCAGTTCATGCACTAACTGGTTAGCTAAACTTTAATTTTCTAGTTCTAATTTTTACCCTTTCTGGCTCAGTAAAAACACGAGGCATTTATTTAGTTACTTATTAAAATATATTTGCTTTTAAAAACAATACTGTGGGGGGCCAACAGGTGGCGTGATGGTTAAGGTGGCTGAATTCCTACATAGCCAATGGCGGTTTGAGTCCTAGACCTGGTGGCTGAAAATCATGCTGGGCATGTGAGTGATGCCTAAAATCCCGAGAGGAGAATGCAGGAAAAGGGACTGTGGAGTGGCCATCCTTGCAGGGGGGTGGGGGGTGATTTCTCACTTTCCCTTTCTATGTCTCTGTCTCCTCTCTGGTGAGTGTATGTGCCTTATGGCAAAAATCTGAAAAAAAAAAAGAAAAAAGAAAGAAAGAAAGAAAGAAAGAAAGAAAGAAAGAAAGAAAGAAAGAAAGAAAGAAAGAAAGAAAGAAAGAAAGAGAAAATGATCATGCAGGCTAGCCTGTGGTGTGGTTGGATCCCACACACCTAGGTGCTCGAAAAACACACTAGCCACAAGTGAGCACATGCCCAGAATCCTAAAAAGAGAATGGAGAAGGGATCGCAGCATGACCATTCTTCATGGGTAGTGACTTCTCATTTTTCCTCCTCCTCTGTGTCTCTCTGGTAAGCATGCACACCTTCTAGCAAATTAAGACAAAGCAAAAGGTACTGCTTAGTTACACGATTATACCACTCGAAATCACTAACGAAGCAACGCTACTCTCAGAAGTTTCTTACTGCAGGATGTCTGAACGGCCAGGTGTGTGTACATTCGTATATACCTGCGTTGAAAAGAGACCCTCGACAGCGTTTTCTTTTGCATTGTATTTCTTCCTGACCCTTGTGTGACATACGTACCAGATTTCGCCCAGATAGGACTTCTAACAAAGCCATTAAGATCTTGCCATCTTGTATATCAACGAATAAATCTTTAACTTCTAGAGGTGGGTTGCACTGTGAAAGAGAAGGAAAGTACCCAATTAGTGATCTGTGTCATCAAAGTATTAGATCATCGGAAAAACCACGGCATGCGAACCAGCAGTTAGCGTAATGGCTGTGTCGCTGGACTCCCACGTAGTCGACCGCGGTTCGCGTCCCGGACCCGGTGGCTTAAAATTCATGCCGGGCGCATGTGTGTGCGTGCCCAAGATCCTGAGAGGAGAATGGAGGAGAAGGGATTGCGGCGTGGCCATCCCCCCTGGGGGGTGATTTCTCGCTTTCTGTCTCTCTGTCCCTCTCTGTCTGTCTGGCGAGCGCACACGCCCTATAGCAAAAACCTCTCAAAAAAAAAAAAAAAAGCCACGACACATTTTGCATAGAAGCACATAGAAAAAATAGAGGCGTGACATTTATGGGACACACAAATAGATAACTAACTGTTGGTAATGTGTATGACATCTTCAGCTGGACTGAAGTGTACTCATGCTGGGTAAATTCACTGTCCAAGCTGTAGTGATGTAGCAATTGAATGTAGAAAATAAAAATGTTTTTAAAAAGAAACACATAGAAAACTACGCCATGACTTCTCCGACAACCAAATATTTCAGAGATGCACCTTTCGGCTCGGGAGAAGATGTGCAGACATCCGGGGCTGCCTACTCGCAGAAAGGCTCCGGAAGTGGTGGCCCGTCCTGCAGCTGATGGGCAGCACATTCCCGGTCACCGGGCAGGGGAGCTGGGCAGAAGATTCAGCAACTGGGCTGACAGAATAAGTGACGCTTGGGGACCTTTCTAACCTGAGATCTCAGAGCCCCAAGATTAGGTGACATCCACGGGTCTGGTTTAGGGTAGAAAGAAATGGCATGTCTTACCTAGAGACTCCAGAGAATAAAATACTTCTACTAGGGCTTACACGAGATTCCTGAGTGCAAGCCCTTCACTTCATCTTGCAGAAACTGGGGCCTAAGAAAGTGGGGCTGGGTGGTGGTCCTAGCCCCGGGTCCAGTTAGCGCTGGAATAGTGCTGTTTCCCGCATCGGCCGTGCTGGCCAGGCGTGAGCAAGCGCACCTCGATCCACACCCCAGCATCACATCCCGGGTGGGCTGCGCTCCAGGCCTCCGTTCAGATGTGGACAAGGGCCCCCACCTCCAGCCCCGTCTCTGCAGGTGCGCCCTCCTGAGGTGTGCCTCGTCACTTCATCCAGTCTGGAGGCGGGGGTAGCCCTGGCAGGGGAATCTGGGGAGGAGGCTGGTGTGCCGGTGTGCCTCGGTGGGCAGGGACACAAAATGCCTGTTGAAATGCGGGGCGGCTGGGTATGGGAGGGACGGAGGCCTGTCCTCTCCTCCACGTCTGCAGCTTGTTAGGAACTCAGAGGGGCAGAGGTTTATTTCTATCTCCATGTGCATGTTATGTATATTTATACGTTTACCTCCAAAAATAATACAATTATAACAAACCAAATCCGTCTAGTTAAAACTGTATAAAAAGTTGTACCAAAAAAGCTGAATGCCCTCTCTAGTCCTTAACAAAACCCAGGCTTCCTGAGATAAACATGCTATCTTAAGGAGCACCTTTCACACGAACCAGTAAGCAGCCAGGGGGTTAGATAGCTGTGCTCAAATGCAAGCCCCACCTCAACAGGGACGGCCTCCCTCCCCAGGCCGAGTGCCCTTGTCTGGAAGGTCAATGCATAAAAGAAGTCAGACCACATCAGAGGCCAGATGGACAGGAGAACATTAGGTAAGGCGCCTGGAACCCGCCTTCCCGGGGAACTCCCACCCGCTAACCAGGAAGTGCTTCCTCCTGCAGCCTGGGGATGCCCCGTCAGTAGGTATTTCAGGCAGGGCCGCGCGCGCCTGGCAGCTCTAAGTGGGAAGGAGTGTCCTCGGCTGGCTGCCCTCAGCGAACAGCAACCAGCTGACAGCAGCCTCCTTTCCTGCATTCCCAGGGCCCCTGTTCACCCAGACCACTCCCTCTCCTTGGGAGAAAAGGAGTTCCCACGCAGGACCTGGAGTGTGGAGGGGCCTGCATAGGACAAGGGTTGCTGTCCAGGTGAACTGATGTGGCACAGTTCGGCATGGTGTAGTCAAGAGCTTGGCTGGGGTCCAAGGAGCCAGCTGGAACTTGTGGGTCAGATGCTCCAGTGCAGGGGTTTGCAAACTGCATCTCCCAGAACCCTAGGAGTCAGCAGAGCAGCTTCAGGGCCCTGCACAGGGGCAGGGCGTTGAAGAGGAGGCTCATTCCCGGCTCAGCTCTTACTGGCCTGTATTTAGGACTCCAGACGAGGCTGGGGTTGAATAGAAGTTTCTGTTGACTAAACAACTTGATAGTAACTCCTCTAATGCAACTTGATAACTCCTCATGGTTAGGACTCTTGTATATGTATACGTTTACCTCCAAAAATAATACAGTTATAACAAACCAAATCCATCTAGTTAAAACTGTATAAAAAGTTGTACCAAAAAGCTGAATGCCCTCTCTTGGGGGGCAGGGTTCAGAAAACCTTCATTCTTCCTAAAAAATGTTCCTTTCTCTCCTTTCTCTTTCTTTCCTTCCTTTGAAAAACAGAAAGAGAAACACCCACAGGGTCCCACACCAGGAATCTCTCCCCAGCCTTTCCAGTCAGCCAGGATCATAGGCATATACGTGCACTCAGTGAGAACAGGTCAGCTGGGGAACCGAACCCTGACCTCCCGGCACCAGAAGGCATCCAGCCTTGCAGAGCACCGCGCTACCACTGCACAACCCAGGCTGGGCCAGAAACCTGCATTCTTCAGAGGCCCCCACCCTAGCCTGAATCCCTTGCCTGGGTGTTCTCTCTGCGCCTGCGTACTGGAAGGCTGTGCGCTCACACAGGAGACAGGGTTAATGGGGCCCAGTGCCCCTGGGGCCCGTAACCAGCCAGAGACACAGAGGCCAGGAAAGCCGGGAAAACACAATGGGTCCCAGCCACCCTTTGCCTCCAGGAAGTCTCCTTCCCATGGCAGCCTGGGAGGGTCTGTGTTTTCGTTTTTATGAAGGAAGGTGGCATTTCCTTATTCTTTATATGAGTCTCCTTACCCCCCCCCCCCCCGTTAAAAAACCAGATGGCGTCCCCCTCCCCCCCCCCCCCCAGTGAAAACACAGGGTGGTTCCACCCACAGGTGCACAGAAAAGGGCTTTGCTTCAAGGGCAACTGCGACTTTGAACTAAAAGGCAAAGTATTTTCTTTGCAAACTCCTACAGCTCCAAGGGTACATTCCATGCTGAGCATGACGGCATCGGGTTACGGGGCCCTTACGGAAATGTTATTCCTGCTAATGTGAGGCAGAAAACACGAGACCCGAACAAAATACCCACTGATAAATGGACTAACAAAATTTCCAGTTACCAGCCCCGACCGCGGCCAAGCCATGCTCTGGAGCTCAACCTGAAGAATAATTTCCATTGACAGTTCCCGTAAGAGCCCCCCCACCCCCAGCAGCAGCAAACGGGGCCTTGGCCGGAGTCCATCCTGCGGGACAGCAGGAGGAAAACTTGAAACGGCTCCAGTGAAAACACTCCTAGGGCCCCAAACGTTCCGTGGGCTTCATGAGATTGGTATGGCCGAATAAACAGCACCCCCAGGGCCTTCTTCATGATCTAACTCCTTCGGTAAATGAAGGAATTTTTCCAGAAGCCAGAGACTCAGTAAATATTTCTGACAGCCTTCAAATTGCAGTTAAGCCCAATTCACCAAGGAGTTCCTAGGTTTCCTTTACATGAAAGGTTGTTCTTGAAAGTCTCAAGGTTGGAAACATGGATGTTAATTTTGCCCTGTTTATTAGGCATCAGTTTCAGGTGCTATCTGATTTATCTGCAGAGTGGGCGTTACCTACCTGCCCCTCCAAAAGGGCAGAGCTTGGCCAAGGAGAAAATCCTTGATAAGAGAAATGCTAACAGAGGTTGGTTCGGGGTGGAGAATGAGTGCACGGGTATTTGCTATATGACCCTCCGTACTTCTCTATATTTATTTATTTTTAATTAAAATAAGAAAGACAGACTCTGATACTGTACCCCACCCTGCAGCAGGAACTCCCAGCTACCCCGACTCACATCAGGCATTAATTTAGGAGTTCAATGAACTCAGGTTTGGAGACCATTTTTCCTTTTTTTTTTCCCCCTTAAAAATAACACTTCACTTTATGAGCACTGCTGAAAATGCACCAATAGTCAAAACAACTGGCAAAAGATTTGCAATGCTTCGGACATGATATATAGCCTTTCACCTGCAGAGTGTGGGACTGGGCTGAGTGGCAGCCTTCACACCCATTCTACAGGTGGGAAATAGAGGCACGGCTGGTCAAGCCTGCTCAGGAAACAGTCTAGGCCGAAAGGGAAACGATGTGATTTAGAATCCCTGTCCAGAGCTCCACTTCCTAAAAGCCACATTTACCTTCTCTCCTTCCTAATTATTTCAGTGCTTTTTCTCTAAGAACCTTCCTTTTCTGGTTAACCATAAGAGCAGTCCATAGATATTCTTGTGCTTAAGAGGAGAGGAGGGGCCAGCAGGTGGCATGGTGGTTAAGGTGCTGGACTCCCACATGGCTGACAATGGGTCGAGTCCCCAGCGGCTTGAACATCATATCAGGTGCATGTGTGTGCATGCCCAAAATCCTGACAGGAGAATGGACTGCACATGGCCGTCCCCCTGGGGGGCGATCTCTCACTCTCCCTCTGTCTCTCTCCCGTGAGTGCACACACCTATAGCCAAAACCTGGAGGGAAGGAAGGAAGGAAGGAAGGAAGGAAGGAAGGAAGGAAGGAAGGAAAGAGAGAAGGAAGAGGAGAGAAGAAAACAGACATACCTAAGCCCACTTATTTCAGAAAGAACTGGGGCTGACGGGGTAGAGCAAGAGAACCAAGCGTGGTGCTTAAGAAGAAAGAGGTGACGTGAGTAAAACGAAAACCAGTAAAACAACTTTCTTTCTCTTTTCCCTTTTTTTAGATTTTGGCCATAGGGCATGTGCGCTGCCAGAGGGACAGGGAGAGGGACAGTGAGAACCCCCCAGGGAAATGGCTATGCTGACATCCCTTCCCCTTCATTCTCCTCTTGGGATTTTGGGCACACATGCACACATGCCTGGTATGATTTTCAAGTGACCGAGTCCATGACTTGAACAGTGGTTGGCCCTGTGGGAATCCAGTGCCTTAACCAGCATTCCACCTGCTAGTCCCAACCATTTTTCTTAAAAGGAACAAGAAGGAATCTGTCTTTTAGCCCTGGGCAATTCTGGATGCTCACAGTCTTGGGGTACAGCCCGGCAGGTGGGGCGGACTAGAGTTTAGCGTGCTCATCCTCATCTTGCTCGCTCCGAGCTGTGTCCCCTTGCCCTGCCTCTCCTGTGTGTTCTCATCTTGTTCACGTGGCTGGGAGGGGCTCGTTCCACTGTTGACAGTGTGTGCACAAGAAGCGCTACACACAAAATGCCACTCAAAGCAAGCTGGCCAAGGAATGGATGAAGGAAAACAGTAATAACAACAGAAGACAGGACCAGCAGAGGGCGCCACGGGGACATCGCTGGACTCCCACAGTGCCAATCGCGGTTTGAATCTCAGACCTGGCAGCTTAAAACTCATGACAGGCATGTGTGTGTGCGTGCCCAAAGTCCTGAGAGGAGAATGGAGAAGAAGGGATTGTAGTATGGCCATCTCCTCTGGGAGGGGTGTGATTTCTCGCTTTCCATCTGTCTTTCCAGCGAGTGTACACACTCTACAGGGGGAAAAAAAAAAAAAAAGGAGGAGAAGGTCAGGCCCACCAAGATGAACCACGAGAACAGCTGCAGAAGAGCTCAGGAAGGGCATGGGCCGTCTCTGTGTGCCTGTCCCCTTGTTCTAACAGGAGAGGGGCCGCTCAGGTAGTCATGACGACTAAGGGCCACATTCCACGCATGCTGCATGATGCGGCGTCTGTTGTGATGTCAAAGGGGGAGGTCACACCACTCCTCAATGGCAGCACTTATGTGAGTAACAAGGGGACCTGGCCTTATTAAACAAGGACCAGAGTTCTTAATAATTAATTCAAATTCCCACAAATGACTCTTTTTTTTTAAAAAAAGAATTATTTTATTTAACTTTATTTATTTTAACTTGACCAGAGAGGGACAAAGAGAGAGAGAGAGAGGGAAAGTGAGAAAGCCAGCTGCCAGGTCTGGGACTCGAACCGTGGTCGCCCAGGTGAGAGTCCAGTGACCTTAACCACCATGCCACATCCAGTCCCCCTAAAAACGATGCTTAACAGAGCCCCATATCAGAAGTCACGGTGCCCATCTGTGTTTGAGACCCTGGCCGTCCTCCTCCTGCTGATGACTGAGGGTGTTCAACAATGAGGCTTCCAAGGCTTGCTCACCGGCTTCTACTTAAAGACAGACCCTCTCCTTGGGCACCTGGACAGACCCTCCCCGAGGGTGGCACTGTGTCTGACTTACCTCCGTGTTCCCTGCACCGAGCTCGGTCCCCAGCCATGAGAACACGCTCAGGCGGGTTGTAACAACTCAAGAACGACAGGGCACAGAGCCAGGCCTCCCCGGCCCACGCTGGCAGTGGCTCGAGATGAATGTGCCTCCTCACAGAGACTCAAGGCCCACTTACCTTTTCTAGATGCAGATTTATCCAGCGAGTGAATGTCCTCTTCTGCACATTTTCCCTCTCAACTGCAAACGAAGAGACTCCATTAGCTGGGGAAAGAAAAAACGCACAAAATCCTGCCTGTCCCTTGCCGACGGGGGCTCTAGGTGATGGCAGGCAGAGTCCTGGAGGGTCCCACAGAACATACCCCTTTGTGGAAGCAGGTCGGCAAGGGCTTATGGGGCCCAGAACACACGTGTCCCGCCCAACTCCGGGACATCCATGTAAGTGGAGGGAGGGCCCACACGCTCGTTCACACGGAACGGCAGGTTCTACACCACCAGGTAGCCATTTGACTCTCTAGGTCAAGAAGCACCAATGGGAAAATACAAACTAAGGGACTAGCAGGTTGCGTGCTAGTTAAGGGTTGAACACTCCCAAGCACAGCCAAGCACGGTTCGAGTCCTGGACCTGGTGGTCTGTTTTCTCACTTTCCCTCTCTTTATCTCTCTATCTCTCTGTGGTCAAATTAAAATAAATGAATGAATAAAAAAATACAAATTAACCCCCATGGTGATGGTACCGATGGTGACGGTACTGCACAGCCACATGCGATAGTGATGGGGCCGAGAAGCTGGGATACAGGACAGGGCGGAGTGGCACCAAGGTGAGGAGTCGGGATGAGGGCTCTGGAATGGGCCAGGAAGCAGTGGGAAGAACTCAGAAGCCCTGGGTCAGACTCAGCCCCGCAGCCGTGTGCCCAGGCCTGATCTGCACCCTGAGGACGAGGTGCTCACGCCCCAGGCTCTCACGAGGGCAGCCACAATGAGCCAGAGGACGTACACAGAGGAAAGCGCTGCCCAAACGGTCTCCCTCACAAAGATCTTTCCTTGTCAAGGGTCACTACGACCCACCAAGCACTAACTGCATCCTGGGTATTTGGTTTCCTTTAGTCCTGCAACCCCACAACGCCCTTTGCAAAGCAGAAACTAGCCTGTGACAGTCTTGGGCTGCCTAGCCATGGAAGGAGTCGATCCAGGCCAAGCCACGCAGCCTAGATGGGTGGCAGCCATACCATGTCGGTCTGTGGAAGTGTACGATCGATGTCCGCACCACGACATCGCCTAACCCATTTCTCAGTGTCCTTGTCACTGAGCAACAATGCCTGCGCTTTACAGAGCAATAGACCAGCTCAGAGAGGTTACAGTGACCTGCCCGGGGCAGAACTGGGGATCACGCCCAGGTCCATCTGCCCCACATCAGCCAGCACCCAGCAATACCAAGGCCTGTGCCTGAAGTCCAGCTCTTCCAGTTCCAGCAGTGGTATCTGCAAGTAATAGCAGCAATGTAAAAATCTGAGCACTAGGGACCAGCAGTTGGCATAATGGCTATGTCACTGGACTCCCATGTAGTCAACCACGGTTTGCATCCCGGACCCAGTGGCTTAAAACTCACGCCGGGCGCATGTGCATGCATGCCCAAGATCCCGAGAGGAGAATGGAGGAGAGGGGATTGCGGCGTGGCCATCCCCCCTGGGGGGTGATTTCTCACTTTCTATCTCTCTGTCTCTGCCTGGCGAGCGCACGCACCCTATAGCGAAAATCCGAGCACTGGCCACACAGCAGGTGCCAAGCTAGGCACATTAACCATCGGCACCCTTCCTGGACCCTCAGAGGAGGGACTAGCATAATCCTCAGATGGGCAGCCGGGGTGCAGGGACATGCAACTTGCCCACGGCCGCACAACGAGGGCTTCTATTTAGACAAAGAAATAGAAGGGCACAGAGTTAATAAGCAGCCAAGCCAAGACTCGAGCTGTGTGCATTCTCCTCTCCCTTCCGAGCGCTGCAGCCTCAGCCATCGTGGGGCCCTCGAGAACCCAGTGGGTGTTTCTGTGACAGGTCATGGCGCCAGTGTCTGGGCCCAGGAGCACGGTGGCCCCCGTGTCTGGGTCCATGGTAGACTGAGGCAGCAACCTCCACAGCTTCAAGCTGCTATGCCTCTCAGGAAGCTTCTGTGAAACGCTTGAGCCAGACGACTCCTAAATCACTCAGTTCTGAATTTCACCGTATTGGAAGAACACATCACACATGCCCCGAACCAGTTCACATTTCTCTAGCAATGAGAAAATGAGAGCCAATTCATCTCCTGGGGAAGCAAAAAGGCTAGTTTTCTGTCACAGCGATGGCGCGTTTTCCTCTTGGCCTCATTAGTAGGCAGATAGTGGCACCCATAAATCATATTTTAATATTGTGCCTTTCAGTCTCTTTAATTGAAGAGCAAGCAGACAGTAATTATGTACATAACTGCTTTCCTCTCATTTTCCTTCTTTCCTCTCATTTTCCTTCTTTTCTACAAGAAAAGGTCACCAGCAAGTAAGCGTAAGAATTAAAGATCTAATTCCAGTAAGCTGTGTTTCATGGCCAGGGAGGGGATGGTGGGAGGAAAAGAAGTCGATAGAAACAAGGTAGGGAGAGACTTCTGAGTCGGAGTCTAAGAAACTTCTGGAAGCTTGGAGAACACCCTACCTCGAGCCCCACTAACGATCGCTCCACCTCTGCACATACAGACTCTCCTCGTTCCCTTTAATGGCTGCGGTGTTTGACATAGCACCGGTATTTCGCGGCTTACTGACCGTCCCCCATTAGGGACAGCGGGCAATGATCGTCGAGAGCAATGCAGCCAGGAGCATCCTTGTGCAAATGCACGCCACGTGGTTCTCGGTGTGCAAGCGTCTCCATGTACTTCTTATGCTTGACTACTCGGAGTGGAGCTGTGGGGTCTTAGTGGTAGGCACATTTAAAATTTTAATAGCTACTTCCAAATTGCCCTCCCTAAAGGCTGCCCCAGTTTACACTTTCACCCCCACCTGTCTTTAAACAAGTTTATGGGGACTGTAAAGTATTTACACACACATTCAAACACTTGGCTGGTTTCTCCATATGGCTTCAGAGAGAGCAAAGTCTATCCCCTGAAACAGAACGCACTGACTAAAAGCCCAGGAGAAGCTGGGTTAGGCTGCTGGCTTAACTGCACTCAGGGGCGTCCACGAGGCGATGTCTGTTGGTTTACACATGCCTCCTCCATCCATCCCTCTGTCTATTCAGCCATCCACCCATCCATCCATCCTCCCAACTGACACTTATTCAGTGACGACCTAAGCGGGGAACTCTGACAGGCCCGGTGAATAAAACCAGAAGTGAAGGACTGAGCATTCATGGGATCTGTGCTCACGAACCACAGCCACGTAGGAGAGAGAAAACGTGCATGTCACATGCGCAGCTGCAGGGAGAGGTGAATCAGCTATGATGAGGGCTCACAGGGATGGGAGAAGGTGACTTCAGACCCCAGAGGATTCTTTTCCAGGCCCCCAACAGGATTCCACAACAGAAGTGGAACACAGAGGGGCTCCTGCAGCAAAGACTCGGTTTTCAGACCCTACCCTGGTTCAGAGCCAACCCTTGGGCAATATCTGGTCCAGCCAAGACTAGTGACAAACCTGAGCAGGGACAGCTTTGGCTACAGAGCTGATCCACACAAGCACAGGAGGGTGACAGCTGAGAGACCAGGGTGCTGGGAGACCAGATCTCAAATAGCAGACGACTCCCTAACAGGTGTTTTCTGGACTTAAAACCAGGACACTCAGCACACCATCGCTCAGCACACAGGAGAGACTGCGAGCACTTGAGCCCATTCAACACACCCACGTCAGGGCCACGAGCCGTTAGCTATGTGACCGTGGGCAAGTTCACGACTTCCAGACACCTGAGGCTCAGCCTCCCCTCTGCAGAAGGGGGTAGCCGTGCCTCTCTCCCAGGAGCACTGGGGCGATTAACCAAGCACCCCGAAAGACATCCCTAACAGCTGCTCCCTCAAGGCCAGTCTCCCAGCCCCCACGTCCCATGGCAGGCCCTGGACTGAGGGACGTGTCTGGTGTCCCAACACCAAGGCCCGCCCCTCGTTCACAGCCTTCTTCATTCCGAAATGCCCACCCCCATCCTGCAGAATGATTCCACTTCTGGCCTGCCAAGACTCCATAAACTTTATATAGTTTCCATAAATCCAACGGCCCCTTTTTTCCTATCACGTTGTAAAGGTGTAGGAAACCATTTTTCGGGAAGGGTCTGGCCTTCTTGCGGAGTGTTTGTGGGGCCCGGTGTGGGTTTACTGGGCAACAACAGAGTAATAACAGCACTGTAAAATCACCAATCTGGTGCTGCCTGGCTGGCCGGGAGGCCCAAAGCTGGGCAGGGTGGGAGGGTAGGCGCTTGCCAGCCCGGGGCCCCAGAGGCTGGGATGGAGAGGCGTGGGGGCCCGGCCTTCTGGCTCCACTCCACCAGCCTGAGTCCCTAGATGGGACGTCATCGCTGACTTTGCCAAGAATAGACCATCAGGAATGGGGGGTGGGACGTGCCTCTTTCTCCAGGCCACTGTTGGCCATCTTAGGGCCACAGAGACAGGGCACTGGGAGTTAAACAGACTCACTTACACTGCAGCCTTTTGTCTCTGTCTGTACTGCCTACAAACCCATTTCCCTTACTATAGTTCCTCTGCTCTTCCCCACCCAGGATTAAGGCTTGGTTTTACCTACATATAAAAAATACTTTCTCATGATAAAAATCTGAATAATGCATACAAGTTTCCAGAATCTCTTGGAATGTCATTATGCCCAGAGGAACACACCCACACACAGCTAACACGTGCACATGCTCCTATACACAATGTCAGTGCGATTGGTGAACTGTGGTTCTGCAAGTGTGGCCCCTGGATCACTGACATCAAAGTCTCTAAGGTGACAGTTAAAATGCTGACCCTTCCCTCCATCCAAGACATATGGACCCGTGCTCTCTGAGGTCAGGGCCTGGGGACATGCATTCAAGCAGCTTAGCAGCTGGTGACGGTGCAGGACTCAGAAATTTGGGTCTGGCAGGAAGAGACAACTGGCAGACTTTCTCAGCCATCCTTGGGCAGGTAGAGAATGCCCGTGGGCACATCGGCCTGGCAGAGCAGAACGGACAGGCAGTCTGGAACCAGACACGTGGGCTCCACCGCCAACCACAGATGGGGACACAGGTCGCAGGACTAAC